TTTTATTAGTCAATAAAACTATCTTATTGAATGCTTTTGCAAATAATCGAAAGATTTTATGTCTATGTGTCAGCCCTTTGGAATTCAGTTTCAACTGATTCTATGAAAGATCAATCTTTTGTGATCCTTAATACAAGATTTTCGGGATGTATTTCTTTGTGGTCAGTATACCTGTTTTAGGAGTCGGCTATTAACATCCAGTTATACCTGATTTTTATTTATTTTGTATCATAAAGAGCAACATTTATCCATGTAAAAGTAAACAACCCTAACTTTAACTTTGCAAGAATGAAAATTATTTTGTGGAAAATACATGACCTACAATTTACTCGATTTGAGGTTTACAATCAGTTGATATTATAGTGTTGTTACAAAACTGTAGATAATCCTTGTACATTAACTCCATGCTATGTCATTGTTTATCATGGTATCTACTCCTTGTTGTTTTCTTATGTATATATGCTAGTGGCATCTTGCACTATCCTTCTCTACCTATCACCAATCGTTTACTATCTGTACATTTCTATCACTACTTGTCTATTATCTCCCTTTGCAAACTGTTTATGTTTCATTGATACTGGCCATTATAGTATAAGCCTATTCATGTTTATATATCCAGATTCGATTATATTGGACAGGTTTCTATCTGTTGTGAATGTTTCCGATGGGGTCCTTGTGCGATTTACTATTTTTGAATATGGTTAACAGGTGATTTGTCTGCAATTCGGCACAGGGCTTCCGTCGGAAGTTTTTATAATAAATGTTATGGGGAACAAGTTATAAAAAAGTTTTTATAAAATAGTATCATTATCACGTGTTTCTAGTGAATAAACATGTCATAATATCTAGTGCTAAAGCGAGTGTAGCATCTCTGCTGTTAATTGGCTTACAGTCTCAATTAAATAATATATGTTTTGTCATATTTTAGTTTTACTTGTGATCCTAGACATGGATATGGAAACCAACACCGGTCCCACTGAAGACGAATTAACTATATTTCATTCAAATACTTGAAGCATCCGAAATAAATAGGTTATATTGTAAATATCGCCAATGAGTATAACATTTTGTGTTTTACGGAAACACACTTAGATCACCATGTATCATCAACTGAATTATGTATACCAGGTTTTTTTAGAACCTTTTAGAAAAAATCGAAATTTCTCAGATGGAGGAATATTGGTTTATTATCCTTAAAATGTAGTCGAAGGAATGATCTTGGATTTTTGGACGGAGTAATTCTTTGGATACAGATTGAAATAGGTCGTCAATTAATTTTATTATGCACTGATTATTGACCAGAAGTTTCCCACCATCCGTTTTGGAAAAGTTTTAAATATTCTATTGAGAAAGCATAAGAGATTACATCTAATGTAGTAATTGTGGGTGATATCGATGTTGATTTTTAACCATATCGCAAAACCATATTTTACAGCAAATTATGTTAGAATTAGATTTAACCAATGTTATTAATGAACCAAGTAGACACGGAATGACGAGGCATAGTTTACCTGATCCTATTTTATTGAGTGATAAATCTAAATGTAGGGATTCAAATGTAAGTATGATAGACCGGAACATTAATGACCATGATGCATGTGTAGTATTTTTATCTGTACCAGTAAATCTATCTCGCACCTATACTCGCGAAGTTTGGTTAGGCTATCTCACTCTTAATTATTAAACCGTCGGTATCATTCACTTGTGTGTCTATTGTACAATCTTCATGTTCCGCCTCCATGTAAATGTTTGCCTTCTTTAGTTCAGTTGACTTTATCTGATCTTAAAGATCCATATCCTACTAATGTTAAGTGTCATCTGAAGATACCATCAGATTTACTCTTAACTAGGCTTATTTTATACTTTCCTAGAAAATCCTCACAGAATTTTATTTCATATTTAAAGATGAAATGGAATTCACCTGCCAAAATACATATATTATGAAAATTCAAGAAGACGGAGTTCAGATCATAGGGGTAGGTAAAATTTGAAACTTGGTACAACAATCGCAGGATTCTGGCTAGTCAGAGGGTAGTTATTAGCAGTGGTTAGTAAAAATCTTCAGACTTGAACTGAGAAGATTCTTTATTATTTCACGGCTGTAGGTTTGTAGGGACTGGTCAGACTGATATACTTGTAATGTTAGTTTAACCTTCTACATCCAGTTTTCCCAGGTGGCAGCATGTTGAATTTTTCACAAACCGCTGATAATTCTAACTTTTGAGCGTTTGAGTGGTAGCCATTACACCAACTTATGTCTTTCTGTACGTCGCTCTTTTTCAGCTCCACTGTGATACATTAAACTGTGTGACGTCATGTAATTATCATTATATGACATCACAATAGATAGATCAGGCCATAGTTATAATTGAAATAAAGTTTGACTGAATATGTATTACGTTGAGATACTCTGTATTTCAGCAGTCCCCATCTCGGTCTCCTTTAAACAGTCCGATAGGGCCCGTAAAGTTCCGTCTCAAAATATGAGTTAATTATCCCCCAGGGCGAAAAATGAGACCGAATTTACTCCAACGTTCTGTCAACTAATTGACTGTATTATAAATCCCATCCCTTGATGATCATGAGAATCGACAGGACTTAGGCCAAAAGATTGTAATTAAATCAGTCGTCCTCTAGTTACAGGTTTTTATTTATCTGCTTATGTAACTAAGTTATAAGGCTACCTTTGTCTTAACACGACCAATTTATCTTGTACAGTACAGGGTTTGGCAAGTAGGTAGGTAGGGGCAGTGAAGTACTAAGGCGGGTCACGATAAGTAAATAGGTAGTTACAGAGAGGAGTAGATAAGTAGGAGTACTAAGGTAGGTAAGCCACGTAAGAAGGTAGTTACAGATAATGGTAGATAAGTAGGTAGGTAGGGGCAGTGAAGTACTAAGGTAGGTAAGGATAAGTAAGTAGGTAAGGGTACGTTAGTAAGTAGGTAAGCCACGTAAGTAGGTAGTTACAGATAGTGGTAGATAAGTAGGTAGAGGTATGTAGGTAGGTAAGTAAGTAGGTAGTTACAGATAGGGGTAGGTAAGTCGGTAGGTAGGGGCAGTGAAGTACTAAGGTAGGTAAGGATAAGTAAGTAGGTAGGGATACGTAAGTAAGTAGGTAGTTACATATAGGGGTAGATAATTAGGTAGAGGTAGGTAAGTAGGTAGTTACAGGTAGTGGTAGATAAGTAGGTAGAGGTAGGTAGGGACAGTGAAGTACTAAGGTAGGTAAGGATAAGTAAGTAGGTAGGGGTACGTTAGTAAGTAGGTAAGCCACGTAAGTAGGTAGTTACAGGTAGGGGTACATCAGTAGGTAGGTAGGTGCAGTGAAGTATAAAGTAAATAGGTAGAGGTAGGTTGGTAATTAGGAGTAGGTAAGTGCGTAGGGGTACTTGAGGAGGTTGCTGGGGGTATGTAGGTAGATATGATCATAACAGGATTTTCCAGCTGTCTATCGTTACAACTTCCAAACATTTTTGAGAGATGTCAATTAAGCGATAATTTACCATTTGTCCCGTAAGCTGCACTCTTTCATGTGAACACAAACTGTAACGTGTTATGTACGATACATGTACATTCAAAGTAACGATTCTGTTTAACAATGCTCCAAGCTTGTCAGGATATTCTGATACAGTTAAAACTAGATCATCTAGTTATTAAAAAAATAATAGGATCAAACTGTTGTCAAACATCACTATGACATGCATCCATCATATTATCACGCTGGCGTTACTAAACATTGCTCCCCCCCCCCCCCAAAAAAAAAAAAAAAAAAAAAAAAAAAATGTTTGGACATTGTATCGATAGACACAGACAGTTGGAAATCCTGTTATGATCATATCGGCCAATTTCTTATACTGGTGCATTTGAGTTAAGCGATCGTCTAAGCGAGATAGACTTTACAAATACTCTCACATACCAAAGCAATGTACACGTTGTTAAGCAAGACATTAGTTAGTATTATGTGACTGGGTTCAGTGTCATGTTTACAGAGATTCCCAGTTCCCTCAGCGACTTTCTGTCGCTCTTCTCCCTCTGCTGCTTGGAATCAATCTAGGGCCTGTCACTTTCTGTTAACCCCGCCCATCACTAGAGACAAATGGTTACTTACATATGAAACTTCAGAGATTTTAAGAAATAGCGATAGCAAACTTTCAAAGTCAAAATCCAAGATGGCCGTCTATCGGCCATTTTATTTTCTGATCAGACCCAAAATTAGATGGGCACAACTAAGAACCAAAATGAACCTATATATAAAATTAAAAGATCCATACAGTATTTCTCAAGAAATAGCGAAAACAAACTTCCCAAGTCAAAATCCAATATGGCCATCTTGGCCCCAAAATCACACGGGCACAACTACAGACCAAGGGTAACCAACATATGCATTTTAAGAAAGATCCACCCGGTACATCTCAAGAATTAGTATAACAATTGTTTTATGGACAGATGGAGGATGGATACAGGTTGATTTGAAAAGCCCTGCGGTTATGAAATTTACAATGTTGGTATAGCATCTGAAGGCCTTTCTATCTATGAAGAGTATTTGATTCTACCATACCTGGGTTTTGAGAGGAAGATTTATTTGTATGTTTCAATCAATTTGACCATTCTTGGCCCTGTTCGTCATGCCCCTGCGGATTTGGAACTATATAATTAAAAATTTTGGTGTGCCTTAAGCTATGGAAGATTTTTGTAAAATTTCCTTGATATTGGTTCATTTTTTTTACAAGAAGAAATAACAAAAAAAGACTCTCATGTGACCTAAAAACTGTACAAACAGGGAACAGTTACTGAGAACAAAAGCAGGAATGAGAATTAAGGACAGAGGGACTACAAAGGGTGATTTAGGCAGGCAATTATCTGATAAAAGCATGTATAAAATAGTCAAAGACAAATACTGTTCCTGAGTGATTTTACTTTGATAGTTTATTGGATCCGTTTTATTTTTATTACAAGTATAAATACAATCCATACTGCAATAAAACAAAACAAAACACCACTTGTGCTTAAAACATCTGTAATAAAGTTTTATTTCATTTCACAATTTTCTTAATTTTGTCATATTCATTTAATGTAAGAGTTACAAAATGGCAGATCTGAAAACATCACAGCTTAGTAGTGGATTTTGACTTATAAAATTCCCCTTTATATATGCTGCTAAGACCAGCTCTTGCCAAGAAGAGGAAATTAACTACTTTCATATTTTTTTCTCTGTTGAAATAACCACTACTCCTCAGCTTGTGTCAGCAGTAATGTTTTAAATAGTCATGCAACACCCTTTTGAAAAATGCAAAAGGAAATAAGGAAAATCTTCAAAATAATGATATTTTCCATGTGAAAGTGCTAGTGCTTGCCTCATTCATACTCAAAAACACTTCAGACTGCAACATTCATTACATTTTCAGCTCTCTCATAATACCAAACACACATCAGTCACACAGAGCACCTCAGACAAAACACAACTGTGTGACACACACCATGACATCTACCAATTCCTTTTTTTTTCTTCTCAAAATCTGATACTTAAAATGAATTTGACGAGGTCATGGTGTGTTGTCTTATCAACTGAAAAACAGTATTAACGTCAGAGGAACAAATAAAGTAAACAAAGATACTGCAAAGCTTTAATCCTTATATTTCCTTAAAAGCCCGATGGATACTACATCTGCGAAGTGAAGGAAACAGGATTTTGACATAAACTTTGAATAAGATTTGTTCCATGTCCAGTAACATTTTTTTCACTGAAAATACACGTGTATTCTTTTTCTATTATAAAATTTCTGTAATGCATCTTCCTTAGTAGACATTCAGTGGTTCAACGAAAGGTAACAAAAGTTTAAAACAAGATATTTTGTTCAGATTCAAATATTATTCCATTTGACAAGGACTCCCCTTATACAATAAGACAAGGGTTATGTCCCTTCTCTTACTCATTTACTTCCCAGAGGGCATTACCTGGCTGGTTCACAACAGATTACAACACCATGGCACAGACAACAAGCAGACAGCCACCAGACTAGACCCATCTTTAGATTGATTTTCATTCTCAATGAAGTTAAACAATGGTCCTAAATAGACATACAATAATATATTTATGAAGCCCAGTATTATGTTTTAGATATCAATTCCCTACTTGGTTGTTAGCCTGTCCTTTTATCTGTAGGTTCCTTTGCTGGAAAATCTCGAATTTTGGACAATGACACAACATTTTATATCACTGTACACATACTACAAAATAAAAATACAATTTTACTTCTCTTCTATAGAAATCTTCGGTTTACATCTACTTAACTAAAGTCCTAGAATATTGTTCAGTGCAGCATCAAGCAGGGACTTCAAAAAGACCACAGCCACACTTCTGCTCCCATAACAATATGACGCTGAGTGTGGATGTCCATGACCTCCACAAGTCCAAGGACTGTGGAAAAAGTGGATAAGTTGTCGCTGTGTCCTTCCTTTTATCACTCCTCCTACCTCATCCTATATGACATACACTCGTTCATCTCTGACAACTCTCCCTTGAAATCCACCTCAATCTTGATGTCCAAATCCCTCTGTTGGAAGTAAGGCCGATATCAATTCATCATTGAGATAGTAAATATTATTGTATAAATTGAAGACATTAAATCTGCAGATACTCTTTCCATACTGATAAAGATAACTGAACAATGACTGTGGCACATGAAGTACCCAATACACACTCATCAGGAGACATTGCTTAATGAAAACTTGGAATGTGTTCAAATGTGACCTTTGACACTTTTTCAAGTACCAGTTGCTGTAACTAGGGTGTTAATATCCTTAAGTCATAAGATGTCTTGTACAAATCTCATTTCAAAATAATCTTCCTTTAAAACTAGTCAAGAATTACCTTTTAACCTCTAACTTTGACCTATAAATACTAATGTAATCATGATCATCAAGTGTAAAGTTACCGAACTAATTAAGTTATCATTACAAAACACTTACATTGTTCTTTTTGTTGGGTTCCAGAGCAATTGTGCCAAAGAGTTCCTCTCCTTTCTTAACTGTCAGATCTAACTGGTCAAAGTAGAACACTGTCTGTTTCCAGTGAGTATAGGGGGCCTCAGGAGCTGGGAATTGAGAGGTAATACAGATTAGTGAATGTCAATATAACTAGAAGGGGAGATAATTCTAACAATATAGCTGGGGAGGGGAGATAAATCTTACAGGTCATTTACTGTCATTATAACTTGGGAAGGGAGATAAGTTATTTTCATATCAAAATAATTTCTGCTTTTGTGCTTCCCTTCTCAAATGTAACGGCCAAACATCATTTTATAATGGAGTTAACATCTCAAATATGGATGATATGATAGGAATATCAATTGTTGGGGATCCCTGAGTTCTTTAGTTCTTCTTTCTATGTTAAAGTCAACACTACACATTGCTTACTCAGTGTTGATTTTCAGGTTTAAAGAGCATATATCCAAAACTTTTATGACATGGAATGATGTTTTAAATTCAGTAATTATTCTGAAGTCCTGTATTGTAATTAACTTGTGTTTTAAACATTGGTGATCAAGAGTGCTGTCAACTTTCATTCATTTTCTTCTCTACTGAATACTTCACAAATTACATAGATTTCATATTCAATACAAATTACTTATAAAATGAACTTTAGTACATTCCCATATTGATTATATTATTCAACAAGATGGAAAGTTGAAGTCCGAGGTAAACAAGTTGACAGTATTCTGAACTCATTGTCTCTATTCAGATGTTTATATATTTTTTTTAAAACATTTAACTCTGTTTTATCCCAAGGTTACAGAGAACTTTTAATAACATAACCATACTGAGAGTTCCATCATGTCCTTCTCACCTGTAGAGAAACCTGTTCTCTTGTGACACTTTGTGAATTCCATATTGAAGAAGGTGACAAGAGCATGAACATAGTCATTACGCCGACATTGAAGGTGAAATGGGGCCTTGAATGTGAGGTCCTCTTCCTTAACCGTGTAGATATCTACTTCCTTCACCAGGCAAGAATTGGTTATCACTTGTTTGGGGTCCACAACATCAACCAGGGGCTCAGAAATGGCTACCTTGCGTATCACACTCATATCAAAGCCATACACACAGTCCCACCCTGCCAAAATATTTAAAAATCAGGAAAAATTAGTATTATCATATACATAAAGAGAGAAACAATTTATCTCTCCTTACAGAAATTGGGACACAATATGTCTATCTCATATCAATGCTTGGATCACAATATTTCTAACACATACCAATGCTTGGATCACAATATTTCTATCTCATACCAATGCTTGGATCACAATATTGCTATCACATACCAAAGCTTGCATCACAATATTTCTATCTACTTACAGAGTACACAACACCTAATGGATTTATGAATTGTCTCAGTTCAACTTTTGGCATGTGGTGGAAAATCAACTTTGGTTATTAAATAAAAACGAGCCAAATTAAAACATCATGTGTATACATATATCATATTCACTTTATCAAATAAAAAACATCTTACTGTCAGCAAAACATGATATAGATTTAACTAACCAGTTTTATTGTTACTTACAGTTTATTTTCTCATCTTTGTACTGTCGATCTTCTATAGCGGTGACATATAACACAGCTCTGTCTGGGAAGATCAAGCCACCAGGTCTCTAAGGAAACAATATAAACAGTCAACAGTTTCCTATTGGAGAGTTGGGTTCTAGTGATCTACTCTTGTATTGCTTACACGAATACTCAGTAATGTCAGAATCTTCTGTACTGAACACATTTCTCATAATGAAGCTTTAAAAATAATACAAACACAAAGGTTTATCTTGTATGTATGCTGCAAATATGCTAAATAATCTGATCTTGCAGTGCAGGCAAAACTCTTGCATTCGCAGTTATAATAATAACCGCTATACCTCATTTTGTACAATTCGTTTTTAAAATCCCTCGATTTATTGGTGTCAATAACATGGTCCATTTGATATTCTAGTATATAATTATATAGTGTATAACACCTTTCCCAGTTGATTCTGAAACACATTTTTTAAACATTTTGCATCTGTTGTAAACATAAGACTACAATGGAAAGTAAGACCTACCAGCCACTTGTCACGCGCAAAGATAACTGTGTTCAACATGGATTCATAGAACAAACAGTAGCCCATCCACTCGCTGATGATGATGTCAACCTTGTCAATGCCCTCTGGAAGTGTGACCTCCTCAACCTTTCCTTTAATCAGGGTCACAGCTACAACATAAAATTCAAGATTACCTCCCTTCGATCCTAGTTATTTTAAATGTCGATTTGAAAAAAATATGAAAATAAAAGAAGCTACTTTGAAAATTTTTGCATATTGAAAATTGAATTCATTTGAAGTATTTTATTCCATATCAATGAAACAATTTCTAAAACAACTTTGTTAGGAATTGTAGCCAGGACATTATATTAAACAACTAACATGAAATAAGACAACATCAACAACATTGAATCTAACATAACAATGCAATAAGCATCAAATGTAAAGACAATTACTGAAATATTGTGCCTGCAAAATGAATCATTACATATTAATTAGGACTGTAACAAAAACCCGAGTACACATATACGGGTCCAGATTCAAAATGAATCATTACATATTAATTTTGAGAAATAACCAGATTCAAAAATGTGTATCCAGGTACCCATCAAAAAAGGAAACATTCTGTTTTTCATCTGTGTTTACATTTCAGATTTTTAAAGGAATACAATATCTGACTGTTCTAATTCACCGAGGATAACCCTTTATCTGTTTGCTACATTTCCACATTCACCATTGTTGTGATTTTAGTTTTCTCACTACCACATTTTGTTCTGGGAACCATCAAACACATATGTTCACGACAGACTTGTGGCTTTACCTTGTTACCATCAATAACACGCCTGGCTTCAGGAATTTCTAGTTTGAATTAAACAACCTTCTTATTTATTTTAGTGTGTATCGATTCTGGATTGAAACTTTTGTTGCTGTCATTCTTATTATGTTGTTGTTGATCACGACAACTCTGTCAAATATTGTAATGTCTCTGTATACATGGCAGACTTGTGTACGGTACTTTACCCTGTTACTATGAATAACATGCCCGGATTCCTGAATGAGATTATGTCACATGATTCGCTGCTCTTATTCATTTATTTTAGTGTATTTCGATTCCGGGTTGAAACTTTTTCAGGTGGCGTTCTTACAATGTTGTTGTCGAGCATGATAACTCTGTCAAATACGATAATATCTCAATCCCATGACTTCCTGTTGCACATGTGCAAGCAATACAATCCTACCATATTTGTGGTTAGTTTGACAGGCATGTTCTGTAAACTTTTGACCTGATGCGATTTTTGTCTCAAGATCGTTTAAATTACAAAACAATTGATGGGTGTAAAGAAAGGAATACAACGATATTGCCAGTTAAGCATTGTGGTCATATATGTTTGATTTTTATGTTTTGCAAAGTTACAAGCCCTTTTCAACATGGTAACACCACATTTCATTATAATGTCAGATAAATGTCAGGTATCCTGATACAGGTCAGGTATTAAAATTCTGGTACCCAAACCCAACATTTTGTACCTGTGACAGTCCTAATATTAATACAACTCCGTATCAAATGAAAGGAGACTTACTTTTATCAAAGTTGTTCAATTCCATTATTTTCTGGGCATAGTCAATGATACTGGAACAGTCAATCTGTTAAATCGAAATATATGGATTAAAATGTGGCAAAAACATAATCAGTCACCTATCTGACTTTGTATTGGATATTTAGGCTAGCATATTTTTATATTCCCAGAACTTGCTTCTGATATCTATCCTATATACGGATAAGACAAAATGACCTACAAAAGTAGCTGAAAACTTTTTGAAAAATTTAGGTTACACCTCTAACTGAAAACACTGACTCTCAATGAAAGTATAATCACAAGCTTTTTTTCCCACCTGTATTGAAATATAGTTTAAATAATAATCTGAATCAGTTAGTAAATTGAGCTAGTTTGACACTATTTACTAAAGCATCATTTCAGTAACTAAAAACCGAACAAAACAATCACTGTCAACAAACTAAACAGGAAAAGCTTCCAACTGGACAGCTTGATCAGTTATGGAAATACCTCAAATACTGAATCCATAAAAAAACACAAGGCTTTCAAACAAAAGGAGATGAGAAATGTATGATACCATATAAATTACCAATTCAATTATTTTTTCAAATTAGTCCATCATACAGCTGTCAAGTGAGGTAAAAGACAATATCAGACAGAAAAATAAAACATTATGAAAGTGACCGTAAAAGACAATATCAGACAGAAAAATAAAACATTATGAAAGTGACCATAAAAGACAATATCAGACAGTGTAAGAAAAATAAAACATTATGAAAGTTACGATAAATAAACAGTAAAACATTGCAGCTGTTTAAACCTACCCCTATGACCTTGGCAGCACCAGCCTTAGCAGCAAACATACACAGGATACCTGTACCACATCCCACATCTAGGACTACTTTGCCTTTAAATAAATGCTTGTTATGTATCATGGCATTTCTGTAGGTCAATGTCCGCACTTCATCCTTCAGCATTTCCTGTATAAGAAGATCGAAATTAATTAATTTCCCTCTAAAACTTGTGTTTTTGGGGTTAATTCATCCGTTTCATTCTTACCTGGTTGGTGAATCCGGCTTTATATGAAAAAATATCACATCAAGTATTTACTCTAGAGATTGTTACCTTAAACTATTTTATCATTTTTAACTAAGTGACTAATTTATTACCTCATGGATTCCAAAATGTCCATAGGAGTCGAAGTAGTAGTCTTTTGATGTCATGTCATCTTTGTCTTTTCCAGCTGGTCTGGGACCTGCATCACCATTACATGACGGGACTTCCTCTGTGGAGGTGGTGGTGGTTGGGGTGGATGTGGTTGTTGGTGTAGTCTTCAAATTAAAGAAAAAAAACAATTGTTATACCTCTAAGTAGCCATGTCAATGAAACAAATTATCTTCGTACATGAAATACTCTCAGACAGTACAAATGGTGCCTGAAAATTTTCACCACTACATTAGCATCCAAATTGTCAGCTAAAATACACCGTATATGACATTCATTCAGAGACAAAAAATTTCGGCTATCAACTTCAAAATGTTTAAAATAAATAAAATATGTTTGAAATAAAAAACTAGCAGACTGCTGTCAGATTTAAATGAATTACCTAACCTGTAGATGTATCGGCTATATTCACATTGAAAGATAGTATTTTATATGGATTGAAATGAATTATTCATTACAAGCAAATATATTTTAAGCATAATTTTTGAGCATAATTGCAGACTCCAAAATTTTGATCACTACCCTGTTTATGGATTTGTAGAAAGTAGATTGTAAGATAGATTTTGTTCTAAAGAACAGAAATGAGCATGCTAATGGATTTATATATACATTTCATATTCACAACTACAGCATTTTTGTTTCTTTTTTTCTTCTTTCACTCTTACATAAATTTCTAATTTAAATTTATCTCTTGGATGTAATGTTTTCAATTTGGAAATTTTAACCAATTCAATTTAGAAACAAAATTAAGAGTCTATATCACATACAATTGGTGCAACATAATTACAAGGTTTTTTCAGGTTATCATATTTAACAAATACAACTGACTGGCAAATAAATTAATCAAATGCAATATGGTCAAGTTATCAATTTTTGAGTCTTCCCCAATCAATATATTAAAAAGTGTTTTACACTCGTGTTAGATTGTTTGAACGACTATTATACGTTTGAATTAGCCTTCTGGATTTTATGAAAATGAACATTCCAAATAAGACATTGTTTGCAGTAGTGCAAATAAATCAATAAACATTATGTAATCCTTGTTATAAATGATCTATGAAAATGCATTATAAATGAAAAATACGAGTAAATTTGCCGAGACTAAGTTAAATCTCCAATGAATTGCGCAACAAAATAGCCTCAAGCCTTTGTGCATGACCATGTGCTTCCGACTTCCACCATATCAAATTTCGTTTTCTTAAATTCACCTATTTTCAAATGTGTTTTCATTTAAAGATCGTCAAAAAGTCTTTACTGCATGTAAAACTAAAGAGAAGACTTGTCATTCCCTTTTTTTAACAAAGGAAATGAGAGGAAATGGTTATACATACAAAATGGAAAAACGCTAATGGTGAAAAGAATGATGTCAAACAAAATAAAACATGTTACGATCTAACATTATAACCATATAAAAAGATACATTAAACAAAAGTTAATCATTTGGCAAAATTAAACAATGTGTTTCATCTCAAATATGTCATTTTCACGAATACCGAATCGACGCATTTCTGTGGTACCTCCATGTGCTCTGCCATTTTGAACCCTTGTGTGAAGCGCGCACATGGTCGGGAACTACGTCATCAAAAGATGTGAATAATTTTGGATGTTCTAAACTGCAAATATGTATATGAAAATATGCGGCTTTTGAGATATCGAGGTAAAAAAGACATGATTTCACGTCACTTATTTTACATTTCTGTTGTATTCCCCCCCCTTAATTTCAGCTTTGTATAAGTGAACTAATGTGACACATCAATCAGTTTTCTTTTTACACGAAAATGCTACATGGGAAGGAATGCGCATTATAATCGTTAAGCCGGAAACCCAGTAAGTTATCATGAACGAGTAAGGATTTCTGGTCTAGCGACATAAGCGGACTTATACAAGAATTCTCTTAATAACCTTAATTAATCTCTTAATAACATTCTTCTTCTTTTTATTCTTCTTCTCCTCCTTCGTTTTGCCGATGCAATTCATTTGTGTGTATTTTTTAATGAAAATAGCTTGTTTCCAGTCGGACTAGTTTACAGAGCTTTTAATTTTTTTCCACATCGGAGGATGAGTCAGTCAAAATTTACTAATCCAATGCTCTATATCGCCAGGGACTTATAGTACGTCCCTGATATCACTGACAGATCACGAACTAAGGGCAGTAACTCTGGGAGGACATAAAGCATGTTTCTATCGTCGGGCTCTGATTTCTTTTTATTATATTTCTACCCTTACACGATCGCGACAAATGACGTTTTCGTAAGTACATGTATGGTGATGATAAAAACACATATGGGTGTATGTTTTTGTGTGGTTTCTCTTGTATATTGTGTATTGTGTAATATGTAAAAACTTGTCAAAAAATAAAAGAATTACAAAAAAAAAAAAAAAAAACACACACACACATTCTATAAAGCATGTTATATTTTGCGTCATAGGAGAGAAAGGTTCTTCCAGACTGGACAATACTACTTCAAAAGTAATTAGGCAATACAGAGAAATTACAGGTAAGTAGTTTCATTAAGTCATTTGACACTTTTTGAAATGTTAAGGTGTTGATATCGATATTTCTTGGTGCACGTGCATATCTCCCGCATTTGCAGAAATGTATTTAGCTACTCGGAATTTTAAAAAGATAATAATCGTACTAAGAAGGGAAAGATATAATTTTAAAGTCTTTTGCTCTGTCTTATTGTAATCATTGTCCGTTTTACGAGGGAAAGACAAAATAGTTGGCACGTCGTATTTAACATTGTAACACATTTTTAACTCGTGCCCTGTTTTGACTCTGAACTCACGATCTACGGCACTAAATCGCCTCGCCAAGAATTTCTTCAACTGCCCAACCATTACACCGCCAACGACATCCGCAAAAAGTTTAAAATGTTCGACATGTTACAGTGGTAAGTGATCTATTACATGAACATCTGGATCGCTATGTATATAAAATACACACGGATACGAATTTTAGAACGAGTCATATCATACTCTGGTACAGTAACGACAGATAATTCGAATGTATATGATGCACGTGTTACACATTGTATAAAAACTGGTAATTTTCAACTCAGTCAATGATAAATAGATAAGCCTGGTTTTCTATATGTAACACGACAGTGTTTTTAAGACTTTAAATAGTGGTTTGCCAACATCATAACAGACTCGCTGAGAGCATTGAGAGGTAGAGTTCGGTTCATTCTCTCAAAAATTTGCTCAATCCTTGAACTGATTGCAACAGATTTTCTTTTTTCCTTGTTTTGGATGGGTTGAAAACGGAAATTAAATGAATTTATCTATTTACACCAAACTTACACTTCAACATATTCGTACATGTGTATATGTACCACTGTGTTAATGGTGATCCTATAAATCACCAGCCCTGACAAAATGCATGATGATGGTAATGATAGTTTTTCGTCTCCATGACTCCGGGCATTGTCCAATCGACTAGCGTACAGAATTGTTATCTGTTACATCACCACTACAGACGGTTCCGGCCCACTGAGGGGGATGCAGGCCATCCCTTCACGTTACCGGAACACCAACGTTCGTCGGACGATATCCGGACACGGGGGGAGTCGCAGGGCAAAAAAAACCAATCAACCAACCAATTATCTGTTATATAATTAGTATCACTGTATTCAGTCATGTTACAATTACCGAATGACCTTCTCCCTCTCTCCTTTTTACTATAGGATATTTGACTAATGATGAATTGTTGAAAGAATTATAATTATTATCTTGACATACACCTTGAACTATTATTGTAACGCATAATTGTGACATGTAATTCATTGGCATTCATGACACATTGACGAAACTTTGCTTCTTGATCTGAAAAAAGCTGACGTCATAATTATGTATCAATTAAAAAAAAAAGAGAGAGAGAGAGAGAGGAAAAAAATATTGCAGTATTGACGGACTAATCTTAGTGCGTGCAGTACTATATAGTGAAGTCAGATAAATAACTGTATGTGTTACCTATGGACATAGATAAAACAGAATATTCATGTGTGTATATAAGATCTTAATTGATTTAAACACAAAAAAGGATAACATTATTCAACTGAAATTCTATTTAGACAGTTCATATTTTATTGATACAAATGTATTTTAAATAATTATATTTTATCAACTTTGGTCATGAAGTCCGGATGGTCAGTTGTTTTCATTTATTAGATTCCATCTTCCGGTGAAAAGGTAAACCACACTGAAAATCACAACAAAGACATTTTCCGACAGGTAAGTTTCTATTATCGACGAATTATTTTATAAGATAGATTCCTTGGCAAATACTTGTATTATGCTTATTATGGAAACATAATGCACACGTGTGTGAGCTGTCCAAATGCCCATGAATGGCAATTTTGACAGAAGAATCGAATGAATCATCGATCAGGCCTGTCGGCCTCGCGTCGATTTAAAACTGTCATTGCAAGTGCTGTTAGCTGTGTTCTTGTAAAGCAAAACATTCCAACGCACGTCAGACGCATGCAAGCCGCATGAATAGACGACTATGGATTATACAATATACAGTTGTAACGACAAAAAAGAAAATAGACCAATTGAATAGTAAGTTATTTTTTCATTTGAAAATGATAATATTTTTTGTCGGTCACTAATGGATGAGTTTTGTATATATATATATATATATAAAGATCTGTGATTCAAGTCTCGATACCATAGGACAATATATTTTTTTCTGTTAAACAGTTAAAGGAGATTAAAATCCTTCTTGTCTTCAGTCAAGAGCAGTGAACTCGCTTCAGATTTCCATGTAAATAATTCCCTGTAGATAGAATGTATGGAAAGTAGATTCCAACTGGAACAATTTTTCATCAACATTGTTGTATTTTACAAGTACTGAGAATAACATATCACTACTAGCTCACCCATTAAAACTTTGTTTATTGTACGTATACATAAACAAAGGAAAATATATATGTGAAATAAAATGTAGTTAATATAAAGATATAACATAATTCCAAACTGCTTATATAGAAGGTGACTTTCATGTATAGTATTGAATTAATTAGATTAGAAAAATCCTAAAGATAGTCAATAAATCATTATATATCATTATGAATTAATATGTTATTGCAATAAGAGTTCCAAGAGATAGTACATAATGCCCATCATGATCATAGGTGGAATTAGCATTTTAGGAAAGGGGCGAAAATTTATATTTAATGTCTGATTGCAGTTACTTAAGGTAATTTACAGATAGTGCAAGAACTTGTCGAAGCTGTGGTGAAAATAAACCTCCGCATGAAGTTTTAAGTGTATCAGTTGGAAACTGCTGGAGATACCTAGAGGATATTGTTTAGGTAATTGAAATAAGGGGCCATGTCTCTGTGAATTATGGATCGAAAGATGCAGTTGTTTAATTTGTCCTAACTATATGGTAGTGAACCTCCCTATGAAGTTTGAACTTGAACTATTGAAATCTAATTGAGATATCAAGAAGGCACTGTTTTTTTGTAAAGGGCGATTACTCCTTGAATTGCAGTAAGAAAAATGTGGTTATCAAATTGTCAGAGTGATTATGATAATGAACCTTCCTATCAAGTTTGAAGTTGATCTGTTGAAAGCTAATTAAAATATTGAGCAGACATTGTTTCAGTAATTGAAAAAAGGGCCATAATCCATTAATTTCATTACAATAATTGTGGTCCACAAATTTGTCCAAGCTATCAAACATTGGTTAAAAACCTTGGTATGAAGTTTGCAGTTAATCTATTGAAAACAACTCGCAATACCAAGCAGTCACTTTTGTTAATTTATTAAGGGGCCATAACACCATTAATTACTGTCCAGCAATTGCAGTGATCAAACTGAGTTGAGCTATCATGGTAAGGAACCTTCCTATGAAGGCTGAAATTGATCTGTTGAAAACTACATCTGATATAGAGTGGACACTGTTTCTTTAATTAAATAAAGAGCCATAACTCTGTAAATTTTGGTCCAAAAATGCGGCTACCATACTTGTGCCATCAATCATGGTAATGGTAACCTTGCTATAAAGTTTGGTATGCTGATAGCTACTTTTGATAGTAAGTGGACACTGTTACAATAATTGAATAAAGGGTAAATGTCATCGTGAAGATTACAACAATCCAACTTGTCCGAGCTATCAAAGTAATGAATTTCCTTATGAAGTTTGAAGTTGATCCATTAAAAACTGCTCAAGTTATTGAGCAGACACTTACTATTCCAACCTACCTACATAATAAGACCTGTCTTTCGACTGGCATATAAAAAAACTGTGTTAAAAGGATCCATGCTCTTTGAAAATCCTTTCATTTGATACAAAATCATTTTGTTTCAGAGGTTAAAGCATGTTTTATTTCACACAATGACAGTTATTGTTTCCAGAGCAATATTCATTCTACCGAGTATTTTCTATTTCAAAGTTCCACTGTTCAGTTTTTGAGAATTTATCTGACAAGGAATGTTTAAAGAAAATGCCAGTTATATCTGAGGTCCTTTTGCCAGTTAAAAAAAAATGTAATGGATGTTTTAGTGTCACAAACAACAAATATAC